GATTGAGTACAAGAGTGTTGGCTTCTGACCACTGGGCGATTTTCGTTAGATCTCTATTTAAGTTATTAACAGCCCAGTTAGTTTGACTTGGTACAAAGGTAAGATATACCTGCAAATCGTCTGCATACATATGATATTTACAGTTCTGAATGGCTGTACTAATATCTGCTATATATAGTATGAATAAAAGAGGGCCTAGTATGGATCCTTGGGGAACTCCTCTCGTTACAGGACAAGGACTTGATAGAGAATGTGTACCATCTTTTTTAATTATTTTAACCAACTGCATGCAATCATTTAGATAACTGGAGAACCACTTGATTGCGGTCGGATCGAATCCATAATAGGAAAGCTTGGACAATAATAATTCGATGTTAAGAGACTCGAAAACCCGTGAGAAATCAAGTAGTGCCATGATTGTTCCTTCACCTTTATCTTGAGATGCTAAAATATTGTCCACTACATCTAATAGTGCTGTGGTCGTGCTGTGATGCTTTCTAAAACCAGACTGCAGTTTCGGTAGTATGTGATTACTCTCCAAGTATGCTTCAAGCTGTATACATACTACTCTTTCCAGTATTTTCGACAAGCAGGGTAGGATGCTGATAGGGCGCAGGTCTTTGAAACTTGTAATGCTATTGGTTTTTGGAATTGGTGTAACCAAAGCGGTTTTCCAGACGTCAGGGAAATAAGACGTGGTTATCGATCTGTTGACTATCGCGGTGATTACTTTTAGCGTGTAAGGAAGTGTTAAAACAACCATATCCAGGCATATACCGTCAGCGCCCAAAGCGTTTGACTTAAGTAAATTAATTATTTTGGCTATTGTGTTTTCGTCTGTAACATTTAACTTAAATGTTGAAGAGCAAAATCGATGGGAGTCAAAGAAAACATGTTCTGAATTGGGTGCTGAATCATTCCTAGTTTTGTGCAAAAGTGAGAATTAATCAAATCCGGGTCATTGAGTTTGTCAGGAATTACATAGTCTCTAGATTTTTCTGATATGTTTATTTTCCGTTTAAGATTGTTCCAAAGAGCTTTAGAATTAGTTATATTGCGATTTATATGTTGATTAAAATAGGCCTGTTTTTCGCGGTATAACGCTGAGTTTACAGCATGCTTAAGTTCTTTGTAATAAGTTTTATGCTTTTCTAATCTAGTTAAGCGAAAACAATTATGTGCTTCGTTCCGCAATTTTATCATTTCGCGAATAGTAAAGGTAATCCATGGATATGTACGCTCCTTTACTTGCTTAAGCTTTAGTGGCGCGAATTGGTCGAACAGGCTTAATACTGTTAAATTGAATTGAGAAACCATATCATTTACATGAGGTAATTGAGCCATAGAATCCCAGTCGATCCTTTCCATTTCGAAATTAAAACCATCACGATTTATGTCTTTCACTGGACGATACAAAAACTGAATTGGTTGACATTTTGGCTTACTCATTTTAAAGTTACATGTTAAGAAAGCATGATTACTTAGAATTGGTATGTAATCGACGGTTACGTTAGAGATTGGTAGGTCGGCGCATATTAAATCAATTAATGTAGCACTGTAAGGAGTAAAGTGTGTAGGTTCATTTACATATTGGATTAAATTTAGGCATTTTGTAAAATTGTCAAATGTATGAGTATTGTTGTCAGTTACCAGTAAATTTATGTTAAAGTCACCCAAGAGCACAATATTATCGCGATGGGCAAAAGATGATACTGAATCAGTAAGTGCGTCAAAAAATATGTCTACGTCAAGCCATGGTGGTCGATAAGCAGTACCTATTATCAGATTTATGCCGTTAACAGTTAAGTTAAGCCACATTTGTTCAACTGATATTGCGGCAGGAAATACTCACATTTTTATGGCGAGACCACGACGTCCATAGAATCCAACCCCACCACCGCGTGCGCGCGTGGTACTTGAACGTGGAAAATGGCGCAAGAGGTAACCGGGGATAGATGGCGCGCGACCTTCTTCTCCATCACGTAGCCAGGTCTCGTTTATAGCCATGATATCTACATCATGCTGCACCATTGCCACAATGAATTCTTCATGCCTTGTACCCAAAGAACCCGGATTTAAAAAACCAACCTTCAGCTTTTGAGTTTTAGGCGCCATTTTGCACAAAGGGCATAATATATATATATGAACATAGGGACACGAGCAACTTCAGTATATGCATATAAACATACATACACATACTTATACAAACACACTCACATATACACATATACACAAACAGAGCAGCACCGTTACTATAGCTATAGCTGTATAACAAATCAAATTTCATGTTATCTAATATTTTTCTGAAAAGTTGAATATCATAATTTATATAGTTAGTGTAATTAAATATCGGTGTTGTATAATATATTAAATAGTTGTTTATCACATAAATTATTATGATAATATTATAGGATATTATAAAATATGGGCAAAAATAAAGAGAGCATTTTAAACCGGAAAATATGAAACGTATAACATGTATAATATACGTATATACAAAGTAATATGCATTGTGTATCATCAGCGTCACAGCACTTACAAATAATTTGTTCAATAATATCAAAAAGTGCAGTACAGTATAATTAAGCGACATAAGCGGATACATGACAAAACGAGTAGGGCATAGACATATTAATCTAAAAATCATTTTCGAAAAATTTGTTAAATATGCAAGCGCCAACAGTTTAAAAAATAGGTTCAGCAAACGGTTAAAAAAAACAACAGGAAAGCAAAAGCTCCAAGTCTAGCCAACCACCGGTTCGCCAAAAAGTTGACAAGATCGATTTCACATCTTATTCTGCGTGCCTCCGTGTTCTGATCTCGTCGCGTGTAAATGCGACCGTCTCGTGTCCACACATATTTCCAACCGCTCTTAGAGCCCATTTGACGGGCCTTGTAGAATAACTGGCGATTTATACGGGTAAGACGCTCATTTATATAGAACTTTTTCGTCGAACCCGGCAGGCCAAAACCTGTAGTATCGGCACTGCGACGGACACGCGCGCTTTGTAACAGACGGTCGCGCAGCGTTCGGCGCGCCAAGCGCACAGCAAGTGATCGTGGCTGAACAGCGCCTTCTCCTTCTATATAACCTCGCAGTGGACCCATTCGCTGGATGCTTACAATGTCCTGTTCTTCAATTTTCACGTTTAATTTTTCACCAATAAGCATAACAAGTTGAGTCACGTTCTCACCCTTATGCTCAGGTATACAACTTATTTCTACATCAGTAAGGAGCTGTTCCTGATCACGATCATTCAACTCGAACTTAAGACGCTCCAATGTGTCGCTAAGCTGTTTGTTCTCATCCTTATATTTTTCCATGCATTCGTCTTTTTCGAGATTAGCCACCCGACTCTCTATTTAATCAACTCGCTTACTTAAGTCGCTGACGGCAAGGTAAAGCCTGTCGAACTTTGTTCCAAAGTTTACAAATTCGTTGCGCATAGCGACAATTTCCGTACGTAACTCCTCTATCATCTTACTTGTAGCATCACAGCCACTGCAACTAGAAGGTGATGAGTTCGAGGAACTACTCTGGCTTATTTCTGTTTGCACCTTAATCGGAGTCTCCGTATTATCTTTTCATGGTTGTTTAGAAGTACAGCCCGGACAAAGCCATTTTGAAGATACTTTATAGCTTTTGGATAACTTTAAACATATTCTGTCATAAATATTAGCACAACTGCTACATTTAATAATGTCAGCCGGACTTACAAATTTCCCGCAAGCAGCGCACTTCGACATTCTAGCGTTAATATTTTATAAGGAGTTAAAATTAAATGAAGTTATGAATGTCGATGACGTCAGTAGTGAGCACGAAGTCGAGCGTAATTTTGCAGTGCGCTTAAGCAACTCTTTAGCGCGTTCAGTACAGCGGTGATTCACGATCAAAACGAACGAGGTTCGAGACTCTCGAATGTATGTACCCTCAAGTTATCACTTATTCAACTTAGGAACTGCGCAGACATATACTATTTCACTCTAAGACCTCCCACTGGGCGGAGTTAGTCCATATACACTGCACTAGAGTAATAAGGAATTGAAATTTGATATATTGACCAATCACAATTTTTTTAGAACGAATTTTGATAACAGAATTTGTAGCAACTAGACACACGAACGTATTCCACGCAGGCGCAGCACAAACTCATTAGAGCTATTTACAATCTAAAACCGTTTTTCTTGGCATCACTCTTGACGCAAAGCTTCAGTGGGGCCCCCATATATCCAAATTAGCAAGCAGACTAAGTTCTGCAGCCTATGCTGTAAAAAAGATTAGAGGTCTCACTAGTAGACAGCTAGATTATTTTATTTTAGTAATTTCCATAGCATAATGTCTTATGGGATTTTGCTATGGGGAAATGCGGCTGATTCAGAAACTATTTTTGTTTTACAGAAGAGGGCCATTAGAGCTATTTACAATCTAAAACCGGGAGAGTCTCTTAGAGATAAATTTAAATAATATAATATATTAACTTTGGCCTCTCAGTATATTTACGAAAATTTAATGTATGTTTACAAAAAAAAAGATAGTTTTAGTAAAAAAAGTGATATATATTCTGTAAACACAAGGAACAAACACAAGCGAGTGATGCCAGTTTCTCGACGCCACAGAGTCAGTAATTCTTTCTTGGAGCAATGTATACGCTATTACAACAATGTCCCGGAAAGTGTATAGGTTCTCTCAATTACCAAGTTTAAATGTTTTATTAAACTGAAAATATATAAAAAGGGTTATTATTGTTAATATTAAATGAAAATATTATCCTTTTCTAAAGAGTTTAAACAAACATTTATTAGTGACAAAATACAACACTTTATACTAGTAATGACCACAGAGTAGAGAGAGAGTGCTTTTTATCATAGAGTATATAATAATATACAAGAGCACAGATTATAGAAGGCGCAAATTTTTATTACAACACACCCCCTAAATTAATGCCTTTTAGTTGTTAACTTTTACATTTCAGACATAAAGCAAACAATAAGTTTAGTATTTAAGTATTCTTGACTACATGGCAAGATTTAATTCCAATTTTATCTCTAAGATAACAAAATTTTATTTTACACAAAGGTTTGGTAAAAATATCAGCATTTTGCTCATCACTGCATACATAGTTTAACTCAATAATTTTATCATAATATTTTTCTTTTATAAAATGAAACTTAATGTCTATATGTTTACACCGTTTGTGAAAGTTTATGTTTTTAATTAAATTTATAGCACTTTGATTATCTAGATTTAAGCACACTGATTTTTGATTAAATTCACCGATGTCACATAACAGTTGTTTGACCCACATAGCCTCTTTAGTGGCGGCACAGGCTGCCATGAATTCTGCTTCAGTGGTTGACAGGGCCACTGTCTGTTGTTTCTGACAAGCCCAAGTCACTGCTGCTCCATTTTTAATAAAGACATATCCCGTGACTGAACGTCTTGTGCTAGGGTCGTTAGCGAAATCTGCATCACTGTAGCCAACTACAACATTAGGCTCTGACATTGGTGTGTAGCACAGGCCATAACCTTTAGTCTCTTTTAGATACTTTAAAATTTTTTTCACAGCATTCCAGTGTGTTTCATTGTAAGAGTTTAAAAATCGACTCACCAGGCTTACTGCGAATGAAATATCAGGTCGGCTTACTGTAGCTAGGTGCATCAATGATCCAACTGCTTCCCGATATGGGATGTTCTTTTCTGTTTCTCCTTCTCCTTTCACCAACTTCATATGTGGCTCAACTGGAATACAGTTTGGTTTACAATTATACAAATTAAATTTATTTAATAACTTCTCAATATAGTTTGACTGATGTATAAAAATGTATTTGTCACACTTCTGTATCTCCATACCAACAAAATTTTTGAGTGAACAGATTTTCACTTCAAATATTGACTGTAAGTCATTAATCAACTCCTTTAAAGTTGATGTATTTTTCGCAAATAACAGTCCATCATCAACATACAAACACAGGTAACATTTTGCTCCATTAATAGTGCCAACATACACACACTGATCAGCTTTACTATTGGCTAGCCCAAACTTCTTTAAAACAGCATCAAATTTTGAATTCCAGCATCTGGGAGCCTGTTTTAAACCATATAAAGATTTATTGAGTTTACACACCTTATTAGCATCGCAGGTTAAGCCCTCGGGTATAGTCATGTATATGTCTTCTTCAAGCTCACCATATAGAAAAGCTGTTTTAATATCTAGCTGAATTATCTCAAGATTGTGTTGAGCAGCTTCTGAAAATAATATACGTATGGAATCGTACCTGACAGTTAGAGCAAATGTATCTTGGTAATCAATACCTTTGGTTTGTGAGTACCCTTTCGCACAAAGCCGGGACTTATAACGTGGACCTGAAGGTTCTTCTTTGATGCGAAAAACCCATTTACATCCAATTATTCGCATATTGGGATTTTTTTTTAACTAATGTCCAAGTATTATTTTTATGATGAGAATCAAGTTCTTCATTTATTGATTTTATCCATTTTGTGGCATCAATAGACTTTAATACCTTTTCATAGTTATCAGGAACTTCATTTTCTGATAATTGTTCTTCACAGCACAGGTAAGAACTCTCTTCTTGTTTCTGTGCATTTAAACATTGTCTTCTTGTTCTTACTGTTATATTTCTGTCAGGTGAAGATTCTACACTTTCATCGGGGATGTACTCGCCGTCTGACTGTGATTTATCTTCACTCACAGTGTCTAATGAGTCATCACTTGAAATTTCTTCTAAATTGTTACTTTTAATACAGCTTTCATTTGTAATTAATTCAATCGGTACAAAATCTCTTTTAACTGTTGACTCTAAAAATATTGCATCTCTACTTTTTATTGCTGTTCTTGAGTTAGGTAATATGAATCGATATCCTTTTGAATTTTCACAGTACCCAATAAAAATTAATTTTTGTGATTTTGAATCAAACTTCTTTCTTTTTTCTCTTGGTAAGTGAACCATTGCCTCACAACCAAATGTGCGCATGTGGCTAACCTTAGGTTTCTGACCAGTCCACATCTCTTCTGGGGTTTTATAAAACAAAGATTTTGTTGGAGAGCGGTTTACAATGTAAGCAGCTGTATGAATTGCTTCAACCCAATAGATTTTAGGTAAGTTAGCATTTAACATCATACATCTTGCTCTTTCTACTAAAGTTCTGTTCATGCGTTCGGCTGTACCATTTTGTTCTGGTGTATAAGGTGTAGTTGTCTGATGTATTATTCCGGCATCTTTGAGAAAATTTGAAAATTTTTCATTGACATATTCAAGTCCATTGTCAGATCTGAGAATTTTAATGCTGCGGTTTAACTGATTCTCAACTTATTTTTTAAATTCTTTAAATTTTTCTAGGACTTCTGACTTATTGTACATGGTATACACAAATATTTTCTTTGAGTAGTCATCGAGGAATGTTACAAAATATCTGGCTTTGCCCAAAGACTGAGTTTCCATCGGTCCGCAGACATCTGAGTGTATCAATTCAAGTAGGCCTTTGCTCTGAGACCCTTGACTTTTAAAAGACAAACGTGTTATACACTTACGTCCTTTCTGACATGTTATACACTTAACATTTTCTTTGACTTGACTTAACTTTAAATCTGCAGTGTTCTCGGTCAATTTCTTCATGCTCTGAAAATTCAGATGACCCATCCTTTGGTGCCACAGGTAAGTATCTTGCTCAATAATATCTGATATGCATGCATAGCCACCAGGCATGTTTAGTCGGTACATATTATTTATTAAACTTGCTGTTGCTACTATGTCATTCTTTCTATTAAGAATAACACAGCCACTCTTATTAAACTTCACTTGACCACCATTATTAATAATCTGACTTACTGACAGCAGGTTTGTAGCTAGTTCAGGTACATATAATACATTTGTAAACAATATATCATTTTGTTGGCCTCTTCCGTCATAAACACTCAAGCTTATTTTTCCAGAGCTTAAGACAGACAGTGTTTTATTATTTGCAACTTTAATATTTTTAATGTGTGGAGTTGTTTCTTCTATAAACAAATTATTGTGTTTGGTCATATGTACAGAAGCACCAGAATCAACATACCAGGCATCGGAGTATTCAGAAGAAGCTATAAAGACGGCAGCATAAGACGTACTGTTTTGTTTATTTGGATTCTTCTGATCCTTATTGGATTTTGATGATTTGCACTCAGGACTTTTATGCCCATATTTGTTGCACGTATAGCAGCGAGGGCCTTTAGAAAATCTTTTATTTTTGTTGTGGAACTTCTGACTTGTAGCAAGAGCTGAAGAATCACTTTCATTTTGTTTAACATCTTGTAATAATTTTGATGTCACTGAGTCAGAGGAAATCTTCATACCTGAGCTTTCAATGGCCATTATCATTGGCTTATAACTTTTTGGAAGGCCGGACAGCAAAAGTGTGCCTAGCCACTCATCGTTCACATTAAAGCCAATGTTCCTTAACTTATGAGCTGTTGTCATTATTTTACTAACATACTCCTCTACATTTAAACATCCAGCTAGTGTAGTATTGCATAAGTCACGCAGCAGACCAACTCGGCGTATTAGCCCGGAGTCGTCGAAAGCGTGAGATAAATTTTCCCAAACTTCTTTCGCAGTGCATGATTCTTGAATATGAACATAGTTAATAGGATCGACAAGCAGTATTATTTTCGATCTGGCTTTATTGTCACGCTTTGTGTCAATTGCGCTTGAATTTACACATTCCACGCAATTCCATAATTCCTCATGTTGCAAGTAAGTTTTAACAGCAAAACGCCATGTGGCATAGTTATCACGGCCGGTTAATTTCTCAATTAATACCAATTAATTACTTGATGACATGCTGAATTCGAAATAAAACTCAATATTTATTCTGAAAACTGAACACGTCTTTTACAAAACTGTTTTTGACACTGATTTAGTAGACTTTATGCACTGATTTTATTTATCGGGCTTTCTGGGCCCATAACCTGTTATTATTAAATGAAAATATTATCCTTTTCTAAAGAGTTTAAACAAACATTTATTAGTGACAAAATACAACACTTTATACTAGTAATGACCACAGAGTAGAGAGAGAGTGCTTTTTATCATAGAGTATATAATAATATACAAGAGCACAGATTATAGAAGGCGCAAATTTTTATTACAACAATTATAGTATAAATGAATACATGGTTGATAATAACCCCTGGGAATGAAGTGGTCGCTTCCAAGCAGTTTCTAAAATAAATTTTGTAAATAGTTCGTAATCATTTATATTGTAAAATTTATTTAAAAAAAGTCCCGCTGGTTTTCTTTCTGGTTCTTCCCAGGACAGAGGGTTTTTTTTTCGAACCAGTGGTAAAGTAAAAAATGAGTTTCAATAAGAATTACACATGTAATGTTTATTGAATAAAAAATTTTCTATTATATTCTATCCTAGTACTATGTATTTGCCCCCAAAATTTTTGGGAGTTTTTCATAAATGCCACGCTTTACTAGCGAATATCAGATACTATATATCACACAACTTAGACGTAGCACCCTCGTTATCAGTCTGAATATTTAGCATCTGGCACAAACGAGATAGTTTACTTTTCATCTGTCGTAAACTATGAGATCTCTCCAGTACTTCCCGTAGTAGCGTTTTACGATACCCATACGATGAAATGGACTAACAAATTCGCTGAAGCCGCCATTATTTAAACGTAATATTTTTGTCCTTTTTGCCAATGAATTCTGTCAGATAACGAAACCATAAGCGACTTCTTACTTTTTCCTGTTTTGTTATTTGTAGTGTTTGGTCTTTTACACTTATTTATAGCAAAAAGTCCAACATAAATTTATTTTATTAAATAACTACTGTGAAAATAACGAAATAATAGGTAGAAAGTATTTTAGCAAATGAAACTAGAATTTGTAAATGGAAAAAAATGGGAAACTCACTGAGTTTCAATATTTACTTAATGTTTTAAATTAAATGTTTGTCTAAATTAGTGAAATCTTACGCTTAAGCGCTCTCCGTTTCCGAAGGCAACTTAAACCATTGACCTCGACCCTTGAGATTGCGGCCATCATTAAATTATTTCGGAGATAAAATGGACGATTTTGTACATAAGATAAGATCACCACCATTATAGACTGATATAACGCTGTATTTGCTAATTTCAATTAAGGTTACACTGCTCCTAAGCAAAACTAACTTTTTAACTACACTACAGAACTGTAAATAAAACTTTATGGTGTATATGATAGAGCCTTTCTGCAGCGTATATGGCTGCAGTATGAATGGGTTGGCTCGACCGAAGAAGGACCACGCTTGCACAGAACACCAGCGTGATAAAACAGCAGAATGCTTCTGTACTTCGTATGTTTGAGTGGCGAGACTCAGGGACTGTTTTAAATGATAACGAGACGTACCATCTACAATAGTCTTCATAAATAATGTAGGTAAGTGCTTGTTATCTTTAATTCTATTTATAAAAAAAACTGCTTGAATTTTTGACAGTTTCCATTTCAATAACACGCAGAAACAGTATACTGTCCTGTGTGTACAGTATAATAATGCTGATGGGGTTGCCCCGATTTTGCAGTGCGTCAGGGATGTGCACTGATGCGAACGCACGTCCATGTCCGGGCCAGCTCCAGTAACATTTTGAGGGTATTTTCTGACAGGTTCAGTTGTATCGTCAAATTCGTTTGTGATATAAAATCGTTCCTGTCTAAGGTTAATTAGGATTTTATTTTAATGCTTTTACTAACAAATAGGCTTACAATCCTTGTATTACTAACACATATTATGATCCATGGTGGATTAAATAAAATATTTTATTTATTTTCTAGTTTCATATAAATTAATCATGTTCTAAATTCTAAAGAAATATTTTGGAAAGATTGTTATTATTTTCAATATGTATTAATAATGTTTTCTATTTTTATTTATTGACTAGCTGTTCTGCAGCTCGCGACTTGGCATATTATAATCTTTGTTTGTAATTTTATTTATTTTTAACTTTTGTTGCTTTAGGCCTAATTAACTATATTTCATAAATTTCACTAATGTGTAAATTCAATAAGTAATAGTATAGATATTTTTATACCTGTAAGCAGCTATTTCATCTAAAAACCTATCAAGGGCATACGCGCTTCAATATTATATTTATAACAAAACTACGTAGCGTTGATA